TGATCAATGACCTGAAGAGAGCTGGGACCACAGTCTCAAAGACACACTACACCGTCATGGATTAAAATCCTGCAGCGCATGCAAGGTCCCCCTGCTCAAGCCAGCGCATGTCCAGGCCCATCTGAAGTTTGCCAATTACCATCTGGATGATCCAGAGGAGGAATGGGAGAAGGTCATGTGGTCAGATGAGACAAAAATATAGCTTTTTGGTCTAAACTCCACTCGCCGTGTTTGGAGGAAGAAGAAGGATGAGTACAACCCCAAGAACACCATCCCAACCGTCAAGCATGGAGGTGGAAACATCATTCTTTGGGGATGCTTTTCTGCAAAGGGGACAGGACGACTGCACCGTATTGAGGGGAGGATGGATGGGGCCATGTATCGCGAGATCTTGGCCAACAACCTCCTTCCCTCAGTAAGAGCATTGAAGATGGGTCGTGGCTGGGTCTTCCAGCATGACAACGACCCAAAACACACAGCCAGGGCAACTAAGGAGTGGCTCCGTAAGAAGCATCTCAAGGACCTGGAGTGGCCTAGCCAGTCTCCAGACCTGAACCCAATAGAAAATATTTGGAGGGAGCTGAAAGTCCGTATTGCCCAGCGACAGCCCCGAAACCTGAAGGATCTGGAGAAGGTCTGTATGGAGGAGTGGGCCAAAATCCCTGCTCTAGTGTGTGCAAACCTGGTTAAGACCTACTGTAATTGCAAACAAAGGTTTCTGTACCAAATATTAAGTTCTGCTTTTCTGATGTATCAAATACTTATGTCATGCAATAAAAAATGCAAATGAATTACTTAAAAATCATACAATGTGATTTTCTGGATTTTTGTTTTAGATTCCGTCTCTCACAGTTGAAGTGTACCTATGATAAAAATTAGAGACCTCTACATGCTTTGTAAGTAGGAAAACCTGCAAAATCGGCAGTGTATCAAATACTTGTTCTCCCCACTGTATTTAACACCTTTTTTTTGTTGGCACAAAACATTACTTCATTTTTTAAACCGGTACCAGGTTACCTTCAGACGAGGCCCGTAGCGGTTGTGGGGGTCGTAGAGCAATACGGAGAAAGAATTGTGTTCGTCTCCCCTTTCCATAGAGTGGTCATATTAGTTTTGTAGGCCAAACCGTTCAGACGCTACATACGTTTTTGTGAGAAGACCGATTTCCGGGATGTCTCCTGGTCTGACAAACAGTGCTTTAGCTCTGCCACTTTACACCGCAGATGCGGAAGGCCGACATAGGTGGATGCAGTGGATTGAGACAGATATCTCTAGGGTAGCCCTTTCCGGCAGTGAGTGACCAAAAGCGCACTCTTTGGCCTCATGGGTGGAATGTTATGAATATCTTTCATAATTTCATAATTAATAAAGATTTGTTTTAAATCAATAACGAAAATACGGTGTTTCTATGTGAAACTGTTTTGTTATAGTTCAGTCTTCTGTGATGTATAGAAAGTGTAATATTGGGATGAAAACTAAAAAGAAGATTAAGCCCATAACCATGTGTGTGAGATACTTTTGTTTCAAAGTAGATTTGTTTTGGACTACCAAGAATCACTCTGTGTGACCCTGATTTAGCCCACTGCTGTAAAAGGTTTAACAGACCGATTTAGATGTTTTCAGTATGTTAATATGATTGACGCACGGGTCAATAGACTGTTAAGTATTTTAAACTCTGTAACTGTTTTAAAGTCACCATTGGCCTCATAGTGAAATCCCTGAGTGGTTTCCTTCCTCTCCGGCAACAAAGTTAGGAAGGACGCCTGTATCTTTGTAGTGTCTGGGTGTATTTATACACCATCCGAAGTGTTATTAATAACTTCACCATGCTCAAAGGGATATTCAATGTCTGCTTTTTATTGACCCATCTACCAATAGGTGCCCTTCCTTGCGACGCATTGGAAAACCTTCCTGGTCTTTGTGGTTGAATCTGTGTTTGAAATTCACTGCTCGACGGAGGGACCTTACAGATAATTGTGTGTTTGGGGTACAGAGATGAGGTAGTCATTCAGAAATCATGGTAAACACTATTATTGCACACAAGCTTATGTGACTTGTTAAGCACATTTTTATTCCTGAACCTTACAGATAATTGTCCACTGATACAAAACATTAGGAACACCTAGATAGACTGACCAGGTGAATCCAGGTGAAAGCTATGATGCCTTATTGATGTCACTTGTTAAATCCATAAAAAAAGTATATATTTTAAGCCTTGATACAATTGAGACATATATTGTGTATGTGTGTCATTCAGAGGGTGAATGGGCAAGACAAAAGATGTAAGTGCCTTTGGACGGGGTATGGTAGTGTGTCAAGAGGTGCAATGCTGCTGGGTTTTTCACGCTCAACAGTTTCCCGTGTGTATCAAGAATGGTCCACCACCCAAAGGACATCCAGCCAATTTCACACAACTGTGGGAAGCATTGGAGTCAACACGGGCCAGAATCCCTGTGGATTGCTTTCAACACCTTATAGAGTCCATGCCCTGACGAATTGAGGCTGTTCTGAGGGCAAAAGGGGGTGCAACTCAATATTAGGAAGGGGTACAGAGATGAAGTAGTCATTCAAAAATCATGTTATTATGTGATTTGTTAAGTAAAGTTTTACTCCTGAACTTATTTAGGTTTGCTACAACAAAGAGGTTGAATACTTATTGACTCAATATATTTCAGCTTTTCATTTGTAATCAATTAGTCCACTTTGATATTATGTGGTATTGTGTGTATGCCAGCGACAGAAAAATCTCAAAATTCAGGCTGTAACACAACAAAATGTGGAAGAAGTCAAGGGGTGTGAATACTTTCTGAAGGCACTGTAAAACTAGCTGAAACGAGCCACCTACGATTCCCCACAGGGCAGCTTCTTGCCATTGTTACTAGCTATTTGGCCATCCAGAATCATAACAATATGGACTTTTGCTCCATTGAAGCGTGTGCATCGTTTTCGTGACATTGTCAGCTAACCCATATATTCAACTGTTCAGATTTTACAGATGTTTTTGTGAGAAGAACCGTTTTCGGGATCCGCCCTTGATAATCACACAGACTAATTGTTGGTATCAGCGGACTGTAGCTCAAACACACAGCGATACCATGGGACTCAAGATTTTCAAGTGTTTTTATTTTTGTAACAATGGTTTTGGGAAACAGCTCAGAGGTTTAACCATGCTCATAGGATCCCACTGGGCACAGATGTCACTTCAATGTCTATTCGATGTTGGTTCAACGTAATTTCATTGAAATGACATGGAAACAACATTGATTCAACCAGTGTGTGCCCAGTGGGATGGTTCTAACGATTAACTTAGCCTTAAGATGCTTTTGGGAAACTTCTGCTGCTATGTGGACCGTAGAGAAGGGTCCACTCCCTTAACCTTCTATCTGACACAGAGGCTGTCCTTTGAAATGGTTCCTGGTTATCTCTAGGGGTTCTCATGGGTGTATTTAAGAAAAACACCACCAGACCATTCTATAACCTTTTTTAAAGTTGTGATAAAGTTTTACACTCCCTGATATCATCCAGCAAGGATAGACATTGATGCTCATCGTGTTTTTGTTTCCAGAAACTAATTTGTCTCGGTTATAATACCTATGAAGGCAGGTCACATGCTGTAGTTGTCATAGTGACGGGGGGTTAGTTACTCGAGTGGGGTACAGGTCCAGGTATAGCTCTGGCTCTGTGCACCTGAGGAGGTGTAAATAGTCAAACTTTGTATTAAACAAGGGTGTACATTTGAGGGTTTTGTATTGATACAATATGTAGTGAATTTGTTATTGGCGTCAAAAGACAAAGAAACTGATAGGCCAGACATCACCACATTAGTAAACTATTTGGTAGAGAGGGGTCACAAGGCATCATGTGGGAAAGTACAACCAGCGAAACATACTTGGGGGTTTCGATTTCGGAAGTCACGAAGCACATTACACGTGATCGAGTTGGAACAATGCGACTCAGGAAAACCCTAGGGGTTTTAATCTCGTGAGACACTTTATCCAGTTTTATTCTAAACTATATTATAGAATTGACAAAAGGGAGGAGGGGTCACGAGTAATTTTGCTGAGGGCTTTCTGAGTTCAAGGAAACAGAGATGTAGACTAGTGAAGGTAACAAAGGAATGTAAGTTCATTGGAAAGTAAGAATTTCAAATTTGAATTGTTTGGACTGATTAAGAGTTAGCAAAATGGAAACTAATAAAATGTACACTTTCTCTTCCAGGAGAATGGGGGTAGTCATTTTCTCTCTCTTTGAAATGTTTCCTGGGACTATTGTCTTGGGAGAGCGGTTAGTGAAATTAAGTGAAAGGTATCCGGATACGGCCGTTAAGGGAGTTACCAAATTAAACAAGGCATGGCCATTTTTGTTTGTTTTTGGCATATGGTTTGCAAATACCCACAAACACACTTCTTATTAATATTTGGTTTTAGTGGGTTTTTCACGGGTTAGACAGACTGCACCTTAAAGGGGCACACACATGGAATTTTCTGAAGTTTTATTTTCAGAGTTTTAATTGAACACGTGCATTCTTTTGATAAGAAACGTACTGAAGAAACTTACTGTAACGCTTGGATACGAAATGTATGAAATGTTTGACTGTTTTAAATAATTAGTATAATATAGAAATAAATACTTATTTGAAGGGTTTGACTGACCTATGACCTCTGTGCTGACTTTCTAGTGTGGTTCGATCACCCTCACTGGGAAGCTGACAGATGGTTGGGTGATGATTTGTGGTCCTCTGTAGCTCAATTGGTAGAGCATGGCGCTTGTAATGCCAGGGTAGTGGGTTCGATCCCCGGGACCACCCATACGTAAAAATGTATGCACACATGACTGTAAGTCGCTTTGGATAAAAGCGTCTGCTAAATGGCATATTATTTAACTCTATTAGTGGGGGTTTTTACATGCTGAAAGTGTATATTTTTGCATGTGTGTTTGAGCTGTTGTGTGTGTGTTTGAGCACATTCATTGTGTGTGTGTTTGTGTGTGTGTATATACAGACGACACCAGTCGAAGGAGAGGGAACAGAAGAATGGCGGCTGGCAGAGGAGGAGCCCGCGGCAGGGGCAAAAGGCCAGCCAGCGAGGATGATGATGATGATGAAGAGGAAGAAGAGGCTCCCAGAAACCGCAGAGGAGCCAATGAGAAGAAGGCTGCCAAGTCACGTGACAGCGACGATGAAAGTGAGGATGACGCCCCCAAGAGGAGACGAGGAGGAGCAGCAAATAAAGGAGCAGCAAACAAAAAGAAAGGAGGACAGTAAGGAGGACAGTGAGGAGGACAGTGAGGAGGACAGTGAGGAGGACAGTGAGGAGGAGAAGGGGAACAAGAGAAAGAAGAAGGGAAAGAAGGGGAAAGAAGAGGAGACCAAAGTTAAGAAAGGAGACGCAAAGGGGAAGGGCAAAGGAAATGAGAAGGAAGATGAGAAGGACAAGAATAAGGAAAAGAGGGAAGAGAGCAGGTATCTTGGATGGAAATCAGGACCCAAGCGATAGAGTGTGATGGCCTTAGAGAAGACTCTAAACATAATACTACACAGGACAGGAATCAAAATAATGGGTCAAATACATGATTTAAGTGTATTATACAGTATTTGCTACACTCTTAGAAAAAATGGTTCCAAAAGGGTTCTTCGGCTGTCCCCATAGGATAACCCTTTTTGGTTCCAGATAGAACGCCTTTTGGTTCCAGGTATAATTATTTTGGGTTCCGTGTAGAACCCTCTATGTAAAGGGTTCTACATGGAACTCTAAAGGGATCTAACTGGAATCAAAAATGATTATTCAAAGGGTTCTCCTATGGGGACAGCCGAAGAACCCTTTTAGGTTCTAGATAACACCGTTTTTTCTAAGAGTGTACGCTTGCATCAAGAGAAATAAAGGGATATCCTTTTTAACTTTCTTTCAATCATCTCAACCATTTATTTTATCAATTTATTTCAGTTTGACTGTGGCTGTTCTGTTGCTAACCCTATAATCTGTTCTCAGAGAATGTCAAGAATTAGTGGATAAACTTGAAGGGGCTCTGGGCAAAGGAAAAGGCAATAGGTTTTATGCCTATAAAGTCATGATAATGAAGGTATGGATCCCTGAGCACAATGTATTCTTTCATACAACTTACCTTTTTGTGGTTGTCGAAATATGAGAATATAATATTGATTATCTTTATTTTTGCCAGAAATTGATCAAATTCCAAAGAGATTTTGACAATTTCAAAACTACTTGCATACCATGGGAACGAAATATAAAAGAGGTTGAAAGTGAGTTACCTGATACTCAACACTTTAGAAACACCAATATACTGAAAATATTCCTGAACACCTCACAACACAATATACACTAATATACTGACCTTATTGACAAAGGCCAGTTGAATGACAGCTGAGCACTACCATCTAGTGGAGAAACCCTATACATCCACTTCTCAACCCTCAGGTCACTTTGGGTCTTCTGTTGCTTCCTACTTCATCTTCCTGCACTGGATGTATGGCATGAACATGGTCCTCTTTGGCTTAACCTTCAGACTGGATGTGATCTCAGAGGTAAAACCGTCTCACAAACAGTTGTAACGCATAGATAAAACTCTGATGTATACTCTAGTAATGATTTAAATGTGTTATGGCTCCAGGTTCTGATGAGACTTCCCTATGGATCCATTCCCAGGAAGACAGTGAAGACAGTGCAGCCCACTGCTCAAGACTACTCTGTCCTCATGGACTTCAACGTGGGTTAAAACATGCAGTCGAGATACCCTCTATTTACTCTGCATGAAAGCCTGTCAAATATGACCATATCAAAGAGTTCAGGCTCATGTGATGATATTATGATGATATTTCATATTGTGCTATTTAAATGATCAGCATGGGTCTTGAGAAACCCGTGAAGATCAGAAGACACAAGTTAATCAGTACACTATAACAGCACCATTCATCATTTGCAATCACTTCTTTCTCTCTCAGGGGTATTGCAAATACTCAGTCCTCTTCTATGGTTACTACAACAACCAGAGGACAATTGGGCTGCTGAAGTTCCTTCTCCCGCTGTCTTACCTCATGGTAGGAGTGGGGACTTTTGGCTACAGCCTGATGGTGGTGATACGAACGTGAGTCGCCACCAAATCCCCCACCTATAAAATATGATCAGGTGTCACACATACCCACATAAAAAAATACTACAGTTTACTATGTAATACTACAGTACTTACTATAGAATTATATAGTAATTTTTTGTATACTGTAGAATACTACACTACACACTGTAGTATCCCTCGATCATGTGTAGTACTTACTATAGAATTATGTAGTATACTGTAGAATACTACAGTAAATACTACAGTATTATCCACAAAAAAACACTGTAGTAAATACTACAGTAATGTCCGCAAAAACACTACAGTCCACAAAAACACTACACGTTTTTAACTACAGTGGTTTGCGAAAGTATTCACCCCCTTGGCATTTTTCCTATTTTGTTGTGAAACAAACAAGAAATAAGACAACAAAACAGAAAACTTGAGCGTGCATAACTATTCACCCCCCCAAAGTCAGTACTTTGTAGAGCCACCTTTTGCAGCAATTACAGCTGCAAGTCTCTTGGGGTATGTCTCTATAAGCTTGGCACATCTAGCCACTGGGGTTTTTGCCCATTCTTCAAGGCAAAACTGCTCCATCTTCTTCAAGTTGGATAGGTTCCGCTGGTGTACAGCAAACTTTAAGTCATACCACAGATTCTCAATTGGATTGAGGTCTGGGTTTTGACTAGGCCATTCCAAGACATTTAAATGTTTCCCCTTAAACCACTCGAGTGTTGCTTTAGCACTATGCTTAGGGTCATTGTCCTGCTGGAAGGTGAACCTCCGTCCCAGTCTCAAATCTCTTGAAGACTGAAACAGGTTTCCCTCAAGAATTTCCCTGTATTTAGCGCCATCCATCATTCCTTCAATTCTGACCAGTTTCCCAGTCCCTGCCGATGAAAAACATTGGGGGATGGTGTTCTCGGGGTGATGAGAGTTGTTGGGTTTGCGCCAGACATAGCGTTTTCCTTGATGGCCAAAAAGCTCAATTTTAGTCTCATCTGACCAGAGTACCTTCTTACATATGTTTGGGGAGTCTCCCACATGCCTTTTGGCTTTTGTTTTACCCCATATATAACTCTGTGTTGTTGTTTTTATCGCACTGCTTAGCTTTATCTTGGCCAGGTCGCAGTTGTAAATGAGAACTTGTTCTCAACTGGCTTACCTGGTTAAATAAAGGTTTTAAAAAATATATTAAAAAAATAAAAAGGCCAGCTCTGTGGAGTGTACGGCTTAAAGTGGTCCTATGGACAGTTACTCCAATCTCTGCTTGTCACGCTCGTTAGAAGTAACGGACCAAGGCGCAGCGTGATATGCGTACATCTTCTATAATAGAGTACTGGCAACACGATACAAAATACAAAACAACAAAACGAAACGTGAAGTCCTCGGTTAACCAACCCAAACCTACACGGAACAAGATCCCACAAAACACAAGTGCACAACAGGCTGCCTAAGTATGGTTCCCAATCAGAGACAACAAGCAACAGCTGATTCTCGTTGCCTCTGATTGAGAACCACCCCAGCCAACCTAGAAAACACATGAACTAGAAACTGAACATAGAACACAAAACATAGACCCTACACACCCTGGCTCAACATATAAGAGTCCCCAGAGCCAGGGCGTGACACTGCTGTGGAGCTTTGCAACTCCTTCAGGGTTATCTTTGGTCTCTTTGTTGCCTTTGTTGGTCTCCCCTGTAGCTCAGTTGGTAGAGAATGGTGCTTGCAACGCCAGGGTTGTGGGTTTGTTTCCCACGGGGGGCCAGTATGAAAATGTATGCACTCACTAACTGTAAGTCGCTCTGGATAAGAGCGTCTGCTAAATGACTAAAATGTAAAATGTTATCTTTGGTCTCTTTGTTGCCTCTCTGATTAATGCCCTCCTTGCCTGGTCCGTGAGTTTTGGTGGGCAGCCCTCTCTTGGCAGTTTTGTTGTTGTGCCATATTCTTTCCATTTTTTTTATAATGGATTTAATGGTGCTCTGTGGGATGTTCAAAGTTTCTGAGATTTCTTTTATAACCCAACCCTGATCTATTCTCCACAAGTTTGCCCCTGACCTGTTTGGAGAGCTCCTTGGTCTTCATCTGCCGCTTGCTTGGTGGTGCCTCTTGCTTAGTGGTGTTGCAGACTCTGGGGCCTTTCAGAACAGGTGTTTTTATACTGAGATCATGTGACAGATCATGTGACACTTAGATTGCACAGAGGTGGACTTCATTTAACTAATTATGTGACTTCTGAAGGTAATTGGTTGCACCAGATCTTATTTAGGATCTTCATAGCGAAGGGGGTGAATACATATGCACGCCCCAGCTCTAATTGCTGCCAAAGGGCTTCTACAAAGTAATGACTCAGGGGTGTGAATACTTATGTAAATGAGATATTTCATTTTAAATACATTTGCCAACATTTCTAAAAACATATTTTCACTTTGTCATTATGGAGTATTGTGTGTAGATACGTTTTTAAAAAATGTAATCCATTTTGAATTCAGTCTGTAACACAACACAATGTGGAATAAGTCAAGGGGTATGAATACTTTCTGAAGGCACTGTACCCTGCCAATTTCCCTCCCCCATTTCGCAATTTGTGCCACCCATAAGTGAGAAACCTACATGCCAAGTATAGACCATATTGTGTTCCTACAGGTTATAGAAAAGAGCAGAAGTGCTAAACTATCCGTTCAGACCCCAGTCCTACCTATCTACAGGTTATGGAAAATGTGCACTTTTAGTATTTCACCAGTAGGTTTCCTGAAGGAGAAAGCATCCACTTTTATATCAAAGATAAAACAAAAACACTACAGTAAATACTACAGTATGCTACAGTTTGCAAAAACACTACAGTAAATACTACATTATACTACAATCCACAAAAATAATTACTTTAATATATACTACAGTTTTCTTTTACTACTGCATTTATACTATAGTTAATTGCAAATACTACAGTATACTACAGTAAATACTACAATATTCACTGAAGTGTTTTTGCAGATTTTAGTAAAGTCCGCAAAAACACTACAGTGAATACTATAGTATTTACACCATAGTATAATATAGTATTTTTTCATGTGGGTATGTCAAAACACACCGCAACACATCAAAATAGAAAGCATTTAGTTTGTTCATGGTGTTTGGGCTGAAAATGGATGATGGTCTTTCCCCACTGTCATTCCTATGTGTTTTGATAGAATGCCTAAGAATGCTGACGTAGGGGGAGGGGACGGAGATGAGGGGGAGTTTACCTTTGCCTTGAAGATGTTCACCAGCTGGGATTACCTCATTGGCAAAGCTGAGACAGCTGACAACAAGTATGATTCCATCACCACCAGCTTCAAGGTAACCATGGAGGCCCGTGGTTACTATTTTCACAGCTTCTGATGCACAGTGATCCAACCAACCATCATAATGTCAGATCTTTTGATTTGTGTTCTTCTTAGTATTATTTACTGTATTCAATCCAATATATACTGACATATTATTTCCCACTTACGACACAGCACCACTGAAACATGTAAGTGGTCCATATGATAACTGTCTGTTTGTCTGTCTGTCTCAGTGCAGGAGTCCATTTTGGATGAGCAGGAGAACCAGAAGGATGAGAACATCCATCTGAGGAGGTTCCTGCGTGTTCTGGCCAATGTCATGATCATCTGCTGCCTGGGGGGAAGTGGCTACCTCATCTTCTTTGTGGTGAAGTGGTCCCAGGAGTTTGCCAACAGGGACGACCTGAGCTGGTACGAGAGAAACAAGGTAATGCTTGGAGAATGTACTTGACATCAACACCATTCTTTCAAACCAATAGAATCAGTTTATATTTGGAATAAATGTATAGTGATATTATGTTATGTTATATAGATGTAGGATCTTAATTTGATCACCTGTTGCAGGAGGTTTAAAAAGGAAGTTTGTAATTTCCACTTTGACATTTCTGACTTGATTTTCGCATACGAAAAATGTATCAACACCTACAAAAATGTCCATGAATTATAATCCACATAATAATTAACATTTCCTGTTGCTGCAGGATTATTTTCCTGCTGTAGCAAACTGTCTCAAATTAAGATCCTACATCTGTAATAGTGCAGCCTTCTTTTTTTTATCTCATTCATTACTGACTAAACAAACTTCCCTTTCTATTTCATCACTGAAATATTTGTTATTATATGGTGTTGTGTAAAGTGGTGGTGTAGTGGGGTGATGGTATGATTCCTGCCATGGTTCCTCTGTGTTGTTGGAGCTCATCTTGTCCCTGTTGGGCCTGGTGTGTCCTCCCCTTTTTGAGACCATCGCTGAGCTGGAGGAGTACCACCCCCGGATCGCCCTCAAATGGCAGCTGGGGCGCATCTTTTCCCTCTTTCTGGGAAACCTCTACACCTTCCTATTCGCCCTATTTGATGATGTCACGATCGTCGTAAGAACCGGACCAAGGCGCAGCGTGATAGGCGTACATCTTTATTACGTACTTAACACATGATCAAAACGATACGTGAAGTCTAACAGGTTCACCAACACAAACCTATACAGATCAAGATCCCACAATTAACTGTGCCAAACAGGCTGCCTAAGTATGGTTCCCAATCAGAGACAACGAGAATCAGCTGCCTCTGATTGGGAACCACCCTGGCCAACATAGATCCACACGATCTAGAACATAAACATAGAAAACTAAACATAAAAACTAACACCCTGGCTCAACATTAAAGAGTCCCCAGAGCCAGGGCGTGACAGATGAGGTCAACAACAAGGTCCTGTAAGGCTGCCTCTGGCTGCTTCAGGCCACTACCAGACCTTAGCTCTTTCTTGTTTATCTTAAATTAATATTGAGAGCTGGATTACAGAATGTTTTTTTTGGGATAATATGAAAGAGTGAAAGAGAATGATAAGGTTTCATAATGGGATGGTTGAATTACACATACAGTAAACAACGCAATGCATCATGTAGTGAGGGATTGGTTTCATACACTTAGGACTGATGTTCCTCATAGTAATGCATTGTCATTGGGATGAAAGGGTAGTGCATTGTAATAATGACCTGTGATTTGATGGCTTCCTTCCTTCCTTCCACTCAGCTTGAGGAGGAGGTATCCATTAGGAATGCGTCCATCTGGGCCCTGAAGGAATACTATGCTACGATTACAACGACACGGACGCCACCCCACCCCCCATCGCCCCCTCTGATGTCATCAGGGGGCCATGCTGGGAGACCGCCGTCAGCATAGTAACGGAACCTTACAGACATCCTCATCTCTGGTATGTTAATTGTTTGGGTTGTATGTACTGTACCTTTGTAAAGCCATGTGTGTGTTGTTCATCATGTGACAGGAGTTTGTGAAGCTGACCGTGTCAGACATCCAGGTGACCTACCTGACCATCCTGATTGGTGACTTTGCGCGGGCTGTCATTGTCAGATTCCTCAACTACTGCTGGGGCTGGGACCTCGAAGCCACATATGTAGGTCCTCCACTGGTCATTGTTACAAAGGGCTACAGTATATTACATAGTTATAAATGTCTTATTTTGTCTATTGGTGGGGATATTCTAGTGGTCACAAGTTTGAATTACTGTTTGTGATATGAATTATATCTCCCTCTGTAGCCATCGTTTGGCGAGTTTGACATCAGTGGCAGCGTTCTTGGTCTGGTCTTCAACCAAGGAATGATCTGGTAAGAGATATTTCTATTCTGGTTGCAGAAATATAGAACTCATGCAGAATATTCCATATTCCCTTCAATGACACCGTGTGTGCGTGTGTGATTCAGGATGGGTGCGTTCTATGCTCCAGGGCTGGTAGGGATAAACGTCCTGCGTCTCCTCTCCTCCATGTACTACCAGTGCTGGGCCGTGATGGCCACTAACGTGCCCCATGAGAGGTATCTTCAAGGCCTCGAAATCCAACAACTTCTACATGAGCCTCCTCCTCCTCATCCTCTTCCTCAGTCTACTGCCTGTGGTCTACACCATCATGACCCTGCCACCCTACTTTGACTGTGGGCCATTCAGGTAACACAAACACACACACAGGCTGTTACTGTTTTTTTCTTCAAACAATACAAAACATCCACATAAAAACGACAGAATACAGACGCAGACAAACATCAACGACATCACACCTGCCCAGACCCACCTGCTCACACCCCCATCTCCAGCGCCCGCATTACCCTCCGCCACATGGCCTCAAACTGCACTATTTTGTTTCTCTCCTTCGCCCACGCACTTTCAATATTTAGATAATAACGCATTTGACCTTTCCATTGTGTTAACAACGGAGGACTGGTTGATTTCCAGTTTTTAAGTATACATTTTTTCAAAATACCCATCGGGTATCTCACTGCACCCTCATATGCCATGTCTTGAAACATGCATATAAAGGATTAAAAGTTAAGTTACATTGTAATATTTCTAACAGCCACATTTCTAACTCTGCCATAACTTTTGGACTTTATAGCATTCCAAGAAGGCATGGATTATTGAGTCATTGTTAGTTTTACACTTAAGACATGACTCTGCCATTCTGCTTTAGAAATTGTGAATTTTGTCTCTTGTATAATAAATTGTGTACATTAGTTTATTAAGCATACATTTTTGTTAAGTGTAATTTTGTTAGTTATGTTCCAACATTCCCTCCATCTTGTGCCAATACCAGTTATTTTTAAGTCTTGGTTCCAATAGTTTATATTTTTTTCTAAGATATTGTCAGTTGGATAGGCTCTCTGCAAGGTTTTGTATGTCTTACCTGTCATATGAATATCCTTTTCTGACTCAACTAGGATTCTCTCAAGATTGCTCTGATGTTCAAAAGATTTCAAATAGAAATGTTGTGATATTAAACTTTTAAGTTGCATGTATTTTAAAATATCTACATTGGTCAGTCCAAAATTGCTTTTAAATTCTGTAATGGAAATAAATTAATTTCCTATTACCAAGTAATTTACGGTTTCTATGCCAATTTATCAGTGATTTCTGAAAAGCTATCCAAGGATTGTTCTATAGGGTAGTCACACCCTGATCTGTGTCACCTGTCTTTGTGATTGTCTCCACCCCCCTCCAGGTGTCGCCCATCTTCCCCATTATCCCCTTTGTATTTATACCTAAAATATAAAAACAAATATATATACCTGTGTTCTCTGTTTGTCTGTTGCCAGTTTGTTTTGTTTCGTCAAGCCTACCAACGGTTTCCCCCTTGCTCCTGTCTTTCTCAAGTTCCTGTTTTGACCATTCTGGCTTACTTGACCCTGACCCTGAGCCTGCCTGCTGTTCTGTACCTTGTCACACCACCCTGGATTATTGACCTCTGCCTTACTTGACCCTGAGACTGCCTGCCGTTCTGTAACTTTTGGACTCTGATCTGGAATACTGACCTCTGCCTGCCCTTGACCTGTCATTTGCCTGCCCCTGACCTGTCATTTGCCTGCCCCCTGTTTTTGTAAATAACTTTTGTTACTTCAACACTGTCTGCATCTGGGTCTTCTCCTGAAACATGATAAGGGTTGTGTTTTAAGGGAGTGATATTGGTTCTTCTAGAATATGTTTCCTTTTCTTCCATATTGCTATAGTGTTCTTAACTATGAAATTGTTAATGTTCTTAGCTGTATCCTTTAAAAATAGACATGTGAAAAGATTCTGAGGATGAGCATGCGCATCTTCAATATGTACCCATTGTTCCTCTTTAGTGCATTTATCTATATAAAAGCTGAGTTGATGGTTAAGAAGTCTGGAAGGTTAAAACCACCCTCAGACTTAGGAAAATGTAGAACTTTCCTTTTTACTCTGAGTTTTATTTGCCCATGACAGAGTATACTTTTTTAAAGAATGTCTTCGGTGGGGTAATTAGTATTACAGAGAATAAATATAACTTTAGGAACCATTTCATTCTGAAAAGGTTTATTCTACCTGTAAGATGTATGGGAAGATTGTTCCATTTAATTTGATCTGCTTTCATATTGTTGAGTAATGGGATAAAGTTATCCTTATGTTTGTCACTTATTAAGCATCCTATATTGTGGTCCACTTAAAAGATTGCTGTAGATCATTAGTTATTTTTCCATTAGTTATTTTTTTTCCACATTAATTTTATATCCTGAGATTTTAGAGTATTCTGAAAATACTTTTAGCAATGGGGGCATTGATTTTTCAATATTGGTCAGGTATATCAGGAGGTCATCTGCAAATAAGTTTAGTTCATTACCAATACTGATACCTGTTACGTTTGGGTCCTGTCATTGACATGTGAGTCAGTATTTTCTTCCCTGCGTGGAAGATATGTTTATTTACTTGTGACAAGTAAAGTACGTTGTTGACTAAGTTCTGTGTCCTGCGCCTGACTCTGTCCTACCGCTACACACTGACGCATGACAGAATCACGCACCATTATGAAGTCAGCAGGTACATCCATTCCTCCAGGATCAGTGGAGGAACGCATCCAGCAGCACTCGACCATGCACCGCCATGGATGGAGTGGTACAGACTATGGAGCGATGGGAGAGTTTTTTTTTTTCTACACCTCCTTCCACTACTATTCACTCCACACCGCTGTCCACCCTTCACCACCTGGATCCAGTGGGATTCGGCTCTTGCTCCCGAGGGCATATGATGGAACAGCTGCCGGGTGCCAGGGGTTTCTGCTCCAGGTGGAGCTCTACCTGGCAACTATCCACCCGGCTCCCTCGGGATACGAGAGCGTGTCCGCCCTCATCTCCTGTCTGTCGGGGAAAGCGCTCGAGTGGGCCAACGCTGAGTGGGGAGGAATAGACGCGGCATCGGTGCGCTATGAAGATTTCACCTGCCGTTTCCGGGCGGTATTTGATCATCCAAAAACTACTATTCCAAAAAAAAAAATCCACCGGAGGGGAGAGCGGCAGGGGAACGGTTGTTCCACCTCAGACAGGGGAAGAGGAGTGCACAGGACTTTGCACTGGACTTCTGGACCTTGGCAGCCAGCGCGGGATGGAATGAGAGGGCCCTGATCGACCATTACCGATGCAGCCTACGGGAGGACATTCGTCGGGAGCTGGCCTGCAGGGACACCACCCTAAACCTGGACCAGCTGGTGTTTATCGATACGACTGGATAACCTGTTGGCCACCCGCGGTTTACGCCCGTGCATTGACTATCGAGGTCTCAATCAGATAACGGTGAAGTACAGTTATCCACTACCTCTCATTGCTAGTATGACGGAGTCATTGCACGGGGTGCACTTCTTCACCAAATTGGATCTCAGGAGCGCGTACAACCTGGTGCGTATCCGGGAAGGGGATGAGTGGAAGACGGCATTTAGTACCACCTCTGGGCACTATGAGTACCTCGTCATGCCGTACGGGTTGATGAATGCTCCCTCAGTATTCCAATCCTTTGTCGATTAGATTTTCAGGGACCTGCACGGACAGGATGTAGTGGTGTATATAGATGATATTCTCATATACTCCGCTACACGAGCCGAGCATTTGTCCCTGGTGCGCAAGGTGCTTGGTCGACTGTTGGAACATGACCTGTACGTCAAGGCTGAGAAATGACTGTTCTTTCAACAGTCCGTCTCCTTCTTAGGCTACCGCCTGTCCGCGTCAGGGGTAGAGATGGAAAATGACCGCATTTCAGCCGTGCACAGAGAAGAGCAGTCTCAGTTGAATGACCAGTCTTGAAACCTGACTGGTTTGGATCAAGAAGGTAATTCTGAGAGAGATAGCAGGAGAGTTGGCTAGAGACGGCACGCTCAAGAGTTTTGGAGAGAAAAGAAAGAAGGTATACTGGTCTGTAGTTGTTGACATCGGAGGGATCGAGTGTAGGTTTTTGGAGGAGGGGTGCAACTCTCGCTCTCTTGAAGACGGAAGGGATATGGCCAGCGGTCAAGGATGAGTTGATGAGCGAGGTGAGGTAAGGGAGAAGGTCTCCGGAAATGGTCTGGAGAAGAGAGGAGGGGATAGGGTCAAGCGGGCAGGTTGTGGGCGGCCGGCCGTCACAAGTCGCAAGATTTCATCTGGAGAGAGAGGGGAGAAAGAAGTCAAAGCATAGGGTAGGCAGTGTGAGCAGGACCAGCGGTGTCATTTGACTTAATAAATGAGGATCGGATGTCGTCAACCTTCTTTTCAAAATGGTTGACGAAGTCATCCACAGAGAGGGATGAGAGAGGGGGAGGAGGAAGGGGATTCAGCAGGGAGGAGAAGGTGGCAAAGAGCTTCCTAAGGTTAGAGGCTGAGGCTTGAAATTTAGAGTGGTAGAAAGTGGCTTTAGCAGCAGAAACAGAGGAAGAAAATGTAGAGAGGATGGAGTGAAAAGATCCCAGGTCCGCAGGGAGTCTAGTTTTCCTCCATTTCCGCTCGGCTGCCCAGAGTCGTCTTCTGTGAGCTCGCAATGAGTCGTCAAGCCACGGAGCAGGAGGGGAGGACCGAGCCGGCCGGGAGGATAGGGGACATAGAGAGTCAAAAGATGCAGAAAGGGAGGAGAGGAGGGTTGAGGAGGCAGAATCAGGAGATCGGAGGGAGAAGGATTTAGCAGAGGGAAGAGATGATAGGATGGAAGAGGAGAGAGTAGCGGGAGAGAGAGAGCGAAGGTTGCGACGGCACATTACCATCGGAGTAGGGGCAGAGTGAGTAGTGTTGGAGAAGAGCGAGAGAGAAAAGGATACAAAGTAGTGGTCGGAGACTTGGAGGGGAGTTGCAGTGAGATTAGTAGAAGAACAGCATCTAGTAAAGATGAGGTCAAGCGTATTGCCTGCCTTGTGAGTAGGGGGGGACGGTGAGAGGGTGAGGTCAAAAGAGGAAAGGAGTGGAAAGAAGGAGGCAGAGAGAAATGAGTCAAAGGCAGACGTAGGGAGGTTAAAGTCATCCAGAACTGTGAGGCATGTTGTGTTTGCTATTCCAAGTTTATAATTTTAAAAGGCTAATTGATCATTAGAAAACCCTTTTGCAATTATGTTAGCACAGTTGAAACGGTTGTGCTGATTAAAGAAGCAATACAACTGGCCTTCTTGAGACTTGTTGAGTATCTGGAGCATCAGCAATTGTGGGTTCGATTACAGGCTCAAAATGGCCAGAAACAAATAACTTTCTTCTGAAACTCATCAGTCTATTCTTGTTCTGAGAAATTAAGGCTATTCCATGCGAGAAATTGCCAAGAAACTGAAGATCTCATACAACGCTGTGTACTACTCCCTTCACAGAACAGCGCAAACTGGTTCTAACCAGAATAGAAAGAGGAGTGGGAGGCCCCGGTGCACAACTGAGCAAGAGGACAAATACATTAGAGTGTCTAGTTTGAGAAACAGACACCTCACAGGTCCTCAACTGGCAGCTTCATTAAATAGTACCCGCAAAACACCAGTCTCAACGTCAACAGTGAAGAGGCGACTCCGGGATGCTGACCTTCTAGGCAGAGTTGCAAAGAAAAATTCATATCTCAGACTTCCCATCTTAATCTTTTATTTTTATTGGCCAGTCGCGATCGACTGGTTGGTGACAACTGATCTATTGTGTCTGGGATGATTGTGTTGATGTGTGTCATGACCACCATTTCAAAGCACTTCATAATTACAGATGTGAGTGCTACAGGGCGAGTCATTTATGCAGGTTACCTTGGAGCTCTTGGGAACAGGGACAATGGTGGTCAGCTTGAAACATGTTGGGATTACAGACTGGTACAAGGAAAGATTGGAAATGTCTGTGAAGACACCTGCCAACTGGTCTGTGCATGCTTTGAGAAAGCGCTCTGGTTTAAAATGGCATTTAGCTCGTTTGGGAGTTCTGCATCACTGGGCAACTCATGGCTGGGTTTCCCTTTGTAATCTGTAATCATCTGCAAGCCCTGCCACATACGACGAACGTTGTAGCCGGTGTAATAGGAATACACCTTTCTCCTATATTGTCCTTTTGCATGTTTGATGTCTTGGAGGTCGTAGCGCGATTTCTTATATGCGTCCATGTCCCGTTCATTCTAAGAGGTAGCTCTAGCCTTTAGCCCAGCGCGGATATTGCCTGTAATCCATGGTTTTTGGTTTGGATATGTTCCTATAGTCACTGTGGGGATGACATCGTCTATGCACTTATTGATGAAGCCCGTGATTGTTATGGTACATTGCTGAACGCTATCGGATGAATCCCGGAACATATCCCAGTCTGTATTAGCAAAACATCACTGGTACTTCCTGTTTGAGCTTTTGTTTGTAAACAGGAAGCAGGAGGATGGAGTCATGGTCAGATTTGTCAAAAGGAGGATGAGGGAGGGCCTTGTATGTGTTTCTGTGGGTAAAATAAAAGTGGTCTAGAGTTTTAGCGTGCCTAGTGGCGCAGGAGATGTGTTGGTAGAAGTGAGGTAGGATGGTTTTACGTTAACCTGCTTTAAAGTCTCCGCTCACCAGAAATGTTGCCTCTGGGTAAGCAGTTTCTTGTTTGTTTATGGCCCATACAGTTTGTTGAGTGCCAGAGTGATGTTGGCTTGTGGAGGAATGTAGACAGCAGTGATCCTTACCGATGAGAACTCTCTTGGTAGATAAAAAGGTCTGCAGCTTACCATGAGGTATTCTATATCAGGTGAGCAAAAGGTAGAGATTGCCACACTTGAAGCAGCACACCAGTTGTTATTCATGAAAAAACACATTCCACCTCCTTTCGATTTCCCCGAAGCTGCCGTCTGATCCTGCTGCTGCATGGAGAATCCACCGAGAACTACGTGCATAGCGTCATCATCCAGCCACGTTTCAGGAAAACATATAATATTGCAGCTTTTCAAGTCTCTATGATAGGAGACTCTTGAACTAAGCTCATCCATTTTATTCTCGAGTGACTGGACATTTGCCAATTGAAGGGAGGGGAGCGCCTTTCGGTTCTCTTCTTCACCTTAATTTCACCAGGACTCCAAACAAACATTATCAAGAACGCCTAGCCCTAGCGTCACCATCTAAGTTAACTAGCAAGCTAGGCTGTTGGCTTATAAAAGATAAAAGAAAACTAAACTTGTTTTTATTAATTAATCATACATTTAAATGGCTAGACAAATAGATGGCTAAAGTAGCCATCTAGCTAGGCTAATGTTGCTAACTAGCTAACCATGAGCTAGCTAGATAAGTGTACATTTAAAACTTGCCCAAGACAGTTCACAGAATTGTCAATTTAAACAACTTCAGCCAATTTATTAATTACAAAATGTTGCTAGCATTAGAAAGTTAATCCAGATTCTTACCTTTGCCTCGATTCGACAGTCTCGTCCAGATCATCATGGCCCTGGTGAGTGACGTGACGCTTGAGACAGGCATTTATAGTTCTGAATGATAGATACATTAGCAGCTAATTAGCATTTCATGTTGGGGGGGTAAATACAGTCGAATATATTGACAAAAGTCACCTTGTCCGAGAGACATTTACACGGTTATCAAAATGTCACGCCAGGGTAAGCCTACACGAAACACAGTCCTTATTTGAAGTGTTTATAAAATCCACAATGGATCAAATGAATGGTTGGCAAACGGTTAGAACCATTTCTGTGTTTGACCACTTGGTTTTATGGGTATTATGACTCATACTTCTTCTTCTTCTTTGGTATTATGGCGGTCCATAAACAAATGTTATAGGTGCATGCCGTCACCTACCTTATTGGCTGTGTATCAGCCTACTATTCTGTAATATGAATTCATGATACTTTGTGAAAATAACCCTACACCCATTAAAACCTCAATCATTATTCCACTACTTTTGCCCTATCTGATCCTGCACCAGGCCAGCAGCCTGGGAGGACAGGACACTATTGTTCAAAACACTTTGTAACGCTTCTGCAGTAAAATCTCGTACACCCAAGTACTTCTCTGCAGCTGCCACAACAAAATCTATCCTCTGTGATTTTCATTCCATTCCTGCGGTACAGTTGACAACAATGGCCATGAACACCAAAAAAACAACCTTATTGAAGCATGTTATTCCTATCTCTCTTTATTAAACTCGTCCTACTCACAGGGATCCTTAGGATCCCTCACCCTGGACCCATCTTTTTTTCAAACAGAAATGTGCATCCTGTAGCACTAACTCCAAAAAGTTTTGGGACACTGTAAAGTCCATGGAGAATAAGAGCACCTCCTCCCAGCTACCCACTGCACTGAGGCTAGGAAACACTGTCACCCCCGATAAATCTACGATAATCGAGAATTTCAATAAGCATTTTGCTACGGCTGGCCATGCTTTCCACCTGGCTACCCCTACCCCGGCCACCAGCTCTGCACCCTCCGCTGCAACCTGCCCATGCCCCCCCCCCCCCCCCCCCCCCCCTCCTTCACCCAAATTCAGATAGCTGATGTCCTGAAAGAGCTGCTAAATCTGGACCCCTACAAATCAGCTGGGCTAGACAATCTGGACCCTTTCTTTCTAAAATTAGCCGCCGAAATTGTCGCAACCCCTAATACTAGTCTGTTCAACCTCTCATTCGTATCGTCTGAGATCCCCAGAGATTGGAAAGCTGCCGCGGTCATCCCCCTCTTCAAAGGGGGTGACACTCTAGATCCAAACTGTTACAGACCTATATCCATCCTGCCCTGCCTTTCAAAAGTATTTGAAAGCCTAGTTAACAAACAGATCACCGACCATTTTGAATCCCACCGTACCTTCTCCACTATGCAATCTGGTTTCCGAGCTGGTCATGGGTGCACCTCAGCCACGTTCAAGGTCCTAAACGATATAATAACCGCAATCGATAAAAGACAGTACTGTGCAGCCGTCTTCATCGACCTGGCCAAGGCTTTTGACTCTGTCAAACACCGCATTCTTATTGGCAGACTAAATAGCCTTGGTTTCTCAAATGACTGCCTCGCCCGGTTCATCAACTACTTCTCAGATAGAGTTCAATGTGTCAAATCGGAGGGCCTGTTGTCTGGCGCGTTCACATGCTAGTCGGAACTAGGAAACTCAGAAATGTTCGACTTGCTAACTGGTTGAATGTGGCACGTGTATAACTACAACCAGTTAGCAAGTCGGAAATTTCAAAATGTCCTAGTTCCGACTAGCACATGAACACGGCATTAACCATACTGTCTTTGGTAATATGGCATTCACGTGCTAGTCGGAACTAAGAGACTTGTTTGTTGTCGTTGTAATGCAGCGTTAACAACAACTGGGACCTCGGAACTGGGAAATCTCTGACTTCTAACTTCAATGCATTCAAGACAACTGGGAACTCTGGAAAATTCGTTTTGAACGGTCATCCAACTCTGAATTCCAGGTCGGGAACTCATAGCTCTTTCTAGAGCTCTGATATTCCAACCTGAATATCACTGACGTCATGATTCAACCTCGTTTTTTCCCCAAGTTCCTAGTTGTCTCGAAAGCACCATCACACATACACGTGCCACGTTCAACCAGTTAGCAAGTCGGACATTTCAGAGGGTCCATGATTTCCAGGATCTGTGGGACGTTACTACTCAATTAAAGTTTACATTTTAAATGGTTAAGGTAAGGGTTTCTGGTTAGGTCAGGGTTAGGGTAAGATTTAGGTTAGAGACGTCTGATCCCAGATAGCAAAAAACAATTTCGGAGTTTCCTAGTTCCAACTTCCGACTAGCACGTGAACGCAGCACTAAGACCATAAATACTCAAATAACAGTACAGTACAGTGTACACTTGTATTAGATAAAATACACCAGTACTGATGGAGTTACTTGTGGGCACACAGAAAAGTAAAGAAAAGCAGCTGCAAAAGCAAAGGTTTATAAGAATCTTTGGGGCATGTCATCTATATAGTAGCAAAAACCTCAACAAAATTTTACATGAACTGTAAACAAGTACAATAAAGTGATTTTGTTTTGAAGTGGACAACTTGTTTCTTATTTATAAGGAAGCGGAAGTCATTAAAAAAACTACTAGCTAAATCCTGTCATGTGATTACTGGTCGTCCTAGGAACGCATTCTAAGCAGCTGCGTATCATCCAATCAGATGGCAGCGCATTTGGAACGCAACGAATGAAATTCGAGTAAGCCAGGATTTAAACCACGGCGATTCACCTTTAGATATTGTGTGCAGTATTTCAGTGTATTCTCTTTCACTGAAGCATCGGATCTTTCGAAATGGCTCAGCGTATGACTAGAGTAAGTTGTATTTTTCAGAATTGGTTTTGCATTAAGATATGTTTGGTTTAAAATAGCTTGTTGGGTTACGTTTGCATTTAGTTATATGCTTTAGTTTAGAGCTCAAATGTGGAGGAGTGAATCGCCTCGTGCCTCTGCAAAATGTTTGTCTTCTGCCTTTTCTGAAATTCTTGTTTACTCGTTCAGAATTCCATATCGTTTGTGTTCTATTTTTAATAATAAAACACGCTCTACAAGGCATCCTTTTTTATTTGTGTTCCTGTAGAATCGCATGGTTTCTTCAGAGAACCAAACTGCTCTGCCAGGCAAGGCAGTTCTGGGAACCAAGCCTACACTGAGACCACGAGCAGCGCTCGGCGAAATCGGAAATGTTGGAATCCCCAGACAGACTCTGAAAAAGGTGATTTGGTAAACTAAACTTCACAATGCATAGGTTGCAGGCTAACCTGCTTCTAGTACTAAAATACTGCGCTTCATTTTTATTCTACAGGATGCCAAGGCTGAACCCACAAAGTTGGTTGAGAGGAAGGCCAGCACACGGGTGCAGAAGGCCCCTGAGGTCCAACAACCAGAAAGAGTTGCTGTTGTCCCTGTTAAGCTGGAGGTTCAGGTGAGATTTCTGGGGCAAAGGGCAAGAATTTGGCTGCTTGTGATTTATTTGTAATCGCCTTCAATCTGCTCAACTCCATTCATGATTAACGTTAGACCTTGTTCACCACCATACCCCCATATTGAATACTAACGTTAGTATGTTTTTATTTTTTTTATCTGACAGGTTTTATCTGAGCCATTATCTCCCACACCAATGGAGACTTCTGGCTGTGTTCCCAATGAACTGTGCCAGGCCTTCTCTGATGTCTTACTTAATATTAAGGATGTGGATGCTGACGACTACGACAACCCCATGCTCTGCAGTGAATATGTGAAGGACATCTACAAATACCTCCAAAAACTTGAGGTTGGTGTATTATGTTTCTCAACTGAAAGCCACGTCCAGCAAATGTATTTTATTGTCCTGCATGTGCCTGCTTACATGTCCCTCTGTGTCGTCTCCCCTCACAGGTTGATCAGGCTGTAAAACCCAAATATCTGGAGGGACAGGAAATTACAGGCAACATGCGTGCCATCCTCATTGATTGGCTCGTCCAGGTCCAAATCAAGTTCCGCCTGCTGCAGGAGACCATGTATATGACTGTGGGAATCATTGACCGCTTCCTTCAGGTAATAATTTCCTTGACACACTATCCTAGCCATCCTGATCGGAAGTGACTGCAATGTAGCAGAAACGTCACCTAACCCACCAGTAAGCTTGCGCACTGACCACGTTTACATATGCAAAATATTCTGGATAGTAACTCATATCCCGCTTAAGGTCTTATTCGGGATAAGCTGTTTACGTGCACCTTTTGATATCCTGCTCACAAGTATCCATGAATACAGATTCCTAATTTTAAATTCATATAGGTTAAATGGAATGGTAACTGTAATATGGACACTGACTGTTGGCCTATAACCTCTCTCATAATATATAGCTCTTGCAGAATTATGCATTTCTTGCAGTAAAATGATACACCAAGTATCACACACATTAGTGGAGAAATATGATTTTCTTTCAGCATCTATTGAGAATGCACATGTGACGTGTCATCTTTGACACTGTTATGCAAGCACACAGTATTTCAACCACACAAAATATGCACCCAAGACAACTGAAGTGTTATCAGAAATGTGTTCTCAGCTTTTAATGTCCTTAGCTGGGCAACCTGATTGGTCCTGTGCAAAATCTTCCCACTGTTTTGGCGTTATTGTGATTTCTCCCCGTCTGTAAACGATGTTGACTAGATTACTAATGCATTCTATCGATGTAAGACATTATTCTGGTGAGCACTACTTCATTTAGTTTTCTATGGCAACACATTAAGACTGAGAAGCTGCATGTATCTAACTATAGTTGACAAACAACTGGCCTACCAAATGATGGCAATTATAAGCAGAAATTGTCTAAATTAGGGCTGACAGTAGGCTATACTCCATACTGGACCGTATCAGCAAAATAAATAATGGCATATCTGAGCAGGTAGCTAGCTTAAAAAATAAAAGGGGATTTTTGATGATCCAATGACAACCCCCATGATGTGCTAAACAGACTGCCGTAAACGGTATGAGATTTTTATGTGCCTCAGTATCCTGTCTAAGATCAGCATATCCGCGGCATCTTATCAGTTTTTCTCACAACCGGGATACAAGCTTTTTTGGGTTATTGTAAACTGGGTGTGATTATGTGTAAACTGAATACTTGAGTGTTCCGGCTAATAACGGGAAATTGGTGGGCAGACTTCAGATCAGGGGAGGGCAAGGAAATGGCTTGGACAATCACCAGTATAATTTAACCTATATTGTAAAATGTCCCGACTGACCCGATCTCCAACAGGATAACCCAGTGCCCAAAAAACAGCTTCAGCTGGTTGGTGTGACTGCCATGTTCATCGCCTCCAAATACGAGGAGATGTACCCTCCAGAGATCGCAGACTTTGCATTTGTGACTGACCGGGCCTACACTACTGCCCAAATCAGGGACATGGAAATGAAGATCCTGAGGGTGCTGAAGTTCAGCTTTGGCCGCCCTCTCCCCCTCCAGTTCCTCAGAAGGGCCTCAAAGATTGGAGAGGTATACCAACCCCCTTCAACACATTTGTATTTCCTACATTCACACCAGTTATATAATCAAAATGACTAATCTCTCTCCAGGTGACTGCTGAGCACCACACCCTGGCGAAGTACTTGGTGGAGCTCACCATGGTGGACTACGAGATGGTGCACTTCCCTCCCTCCCAGGTGGCCAGTGCAGCCTTCGCCCTCACCCTGAAGGTCTTCAACTGTGGTGAATGGGTAAGATGTCCTTCATAATTGCTGTTGAGATTTCTCTTTTCTGAATGGCATCCACCATTTTTGAATTTGCTTATCTGGTCTCTGATCAGTGATTGTGGGGAAAGGAAGCCCTAGGTATATACCAGGTCACTGCTGCATCACTATCTTCTCACTTACTGCCTTTGTATCCTCTCCCCAGAGCTCCACACTGCAGCATTACATGAACTACACAGAAGACGCCCTGGTCCAGGTCATGCAGCACATAGCAAAAAATGTTGTGAAGGTGAACGAGGGACAAACTAAGCATATGGTGCGTAGAGGAACTGCCTTCTAATTAGTGAATGACATTTACTTAGTTTACAAGTCTTTACATGCACCCAATGTTAAGACTTCAAGATCTTCTACAAAATGACCTGTTGCCCTAACTTTTCTTTTGCAGGCAGTTAAGAATAAGTACTCTAGTCAGAAGCAGATGAGAATCGCCACCATTTCACAGTTGAAGTCTTCGCTGATCAAGGAACTTGCAAAGCAACTTATCCTATGAGATGCCTGGCAGCACTGCTGATTGTTCTGTACAGAATGTATGTAACTTATGTGGTTTTAACAATTATGGGAGAAACATTGGTGTTGGGTAATGTACAGCTTGTTTAGCCCTTTCTAGTAATTAAATGCTTTGTCTTAAAGTAGTTTCGGTCTACCATCAATGTAATGTGTATATGATCAAGACTGTATATTCAAGTAATGCCAATAAACATTTTAAAAATTTTAATTCCTTGTTTAGAATTGTGCTTTGCTTTACATGGACACTTCATCATTCATTTGAAGGGATTTGTATTGCACTACTTGGTCTTGTAACTGCTAGCCTCCACTAGAGGGAGGTAGTGCTTTGGTTATTGTCCTGTCTTGGTCAGTGACTGTTTAGTGCTCTTCTAGAGTAGTTCTGACATGCCCACAACTTGCATGTGACATGCAGCTAATTTCCTTTATTGACGCATGCATGGCACACAAGATTTAGCTAGTTTGCTTTTGAGGAATGCAACTGCTTGTGACACTTGACGGCTTAGCGGGGAAATTGCAATTCAGAGTTTATTACTGGTGTTCACATGCATTTAAGATACCCCAGCTGTTGAAAGCTCTTTGCTGGCTTCACATGTGGCTGTCCTGGCCCAGAAAAAGCTACTCCTTTTCAAGGCCTCCACTGCAGTCTTAAGGCGCTTCTGCAGCTATTCAGGTCAGATACATTCCACTGCTCATGCTGGGGCAACAAGTACTTAGTCGTGCCCCATTATGGCTCCTGAGCCAAGTAGACATGTCTTTAAATGAACATGGGTCCATCACTTGTCAATGTGCAGTCATTTTCTTTTGTAACAGACTCATTTTATATTTTCTTAGTGGATGGGCTTTGAAAACAAGATGTCAACTGCATGATCTGATTCCGTAGTCTTAACTGTTCATAAATCCTAATTCCAAGTGGCTGTAGATTAAGCAGTCTAATTCCATTCATTTTCTAACAGTAAAACACACTTCCTACACACCCAGTTACTGTAACAGCCATTCTAATGAGTTTAGCCTACCCTTTGAACCCACAGATTCCAGTTTAGGAACAATGTCACCGGTCTTATTTCTGGCACTGCTTTTTGCTGTCGTGGATATTTTTACTAAGGGGCTCCATTGTAGACTAAGACCTACGTGACTATTCTCGGAATAGGAGGATCCCATTAAAAGAGGCAGATGCACAGGACTCATAACCCGTCCTGGAGCAAGCAAGCGGCGTCAACTACAATTGATAACATCAAGGCTAATAGACACTGCCCATCCACAGCTGCGGCCTGCAATGAGACCCACGAGGGGATTCGAAGACCTTATGCTGTTCAAGACCACCTGTCATCCCACAGAGGCCCCTCACTGTATCCATAATGATCATAGGCCATCAATACATCTGCTGACAGCTCTCAAACCGTTTGTTGGACAACAGCTTGGCAACATACTGTGATAAGCTGTCACCAAATGAGAAATATTTCAGTCATTTTATTATTTGGCATTCAACTTAGTTTACTGTACAGATCACATTGCCAGATCCTGATATTTTCTCTGTCCAAATTAACAAAATTTTTATACCAAGCAGCACTCACTGAAATATATATTTGTTGGAGAATTTAGAACACATGCAAAGTGGAGGAAAACAATTTCTAATGATCCCCTTTAGAAGACAATTAGGACCTCCGCTTATATATATATATATATTTTGCCTACCTGCTGTCATATGCAGAGGGGATGTGTTAAAGAGCATCTATAGGTTAATATTTTTTGCTCTACCTTCTGCTGCTCTTCATAGGGACAGATGATAATTAGTCTGTTACCCTGGAAAGCTGTGCTTTTAAACCCGGCTCATGCTGAGAACTCATGCTTGAAGGCTGAGGTCATGACTGGGCAGCAAGATCAGTTTACAAGACGGATTCCTTCTGTGGAGCTTGAAACCATATGGTTGAAGCAGCCTGGACCCCTGGATATTTGGCCTTTAGCTCTTTTGTGGACATTTCATGAAAAGCAGTTGTAGGGGAGAGTGGGGTAAGTTGAGACAAAGGGGTACGTTGAGCCACCTTTGTTTCTAAGAAACCATACAACATGTATAATTTTACCAAATTTAGGAAGAGGTCATCATTTCATGGAGTCTGTGAAGGAAGAAAACACATGGAAAAAGTGGTAAGCAGGTTCGGTAAAAAAACTAACAGATTTTCACCAAGTCAAATGAATTTATTGTGTTAGAGGTTTCATGATGCTTTTATCTAAACCAAAGTAGATAATTTAAAGATTTTTCTATACATCAGTTGGGGTCTCTATAAGCTTCAATATGAGGTCCTAAACCTAGCATGAACGTGAATTCTGATTATTTCCAGGGATACACAACATCCTGAAATATATGTGGATATCTTTGTTAGAAAGAATTTCCCTAGACGGAGTGATGCTGAATGTAAAAAATTGCTAAATTTACCCAAATCTCCCGTATGACATAGTGGAATAGCAGATCGAAAAAGATCAGAAATGAGATGAGTGACCACGCAACTGTAGTGTTGAATTACCTCTCACTCATTAACCTGTCTATTATTGTTTGAATAGTGAATAACAACCATATACCATATGTCAAAACTGGATTTATGATTTGTGAAGTTCACACTTGGAATGCCCCAGAATTACATCAAATTACACACTCTGATGAGATCTTAAAGACACTTTTGGGATAATCCTTTTTCAAACATATTCAATCAACACTAAGGCACAAAAACTAATGTCATATTCTATTTTTATTCAAGCCCTCCTCAATAAATGAATTCAAGAGTCAGGATTGAGGTCCAGAAAGAATGGAAAACTTGGCCTCAGAAACCCCTTTCAGATTTCTGAGATAAACTCCCCCAAAGTTGAATTGTCCAAGACCAGAGTCGAAAGTTTGGAAGTGTTTCTCAGTCTAAACATTATCCGGGATGGTCAGTGCACCCTTCAAAATGAGTCAATATACATTCTCAATTCACATCCACTGTGCATGTGTCTCAATTCAATAATGACAAAGTCAAACAAACACAGCCCCACAGAGGTGATGTTAGCGTTTCTGTGGGGTGCTAATAGGTACGCAGCTGGCAACCGGACTGAAGTTTCTGGGCCTGAAAGTGAAGCACAAATAAACACATTCATTTTCACAATTTATAGATTTAAAAAAAAATCTGTGTACTTCCTGAACTTTACCGACCTTTGCTGCTCAATGGCATGTGAAGGAAAGAAAGGCTCCTATTGTGGCCTGAACATTGGTCTGTTTCAACCAGGTGTGAAAAGGCATCAGTCCTTGGTTCATTCCAATTTACTGAGCAGAACTTTCCTCTGACCACGTAACCTCTCTGTGTTAGAATTGAACGGCAACAGCTCTTTCACCCTCTTTACCCAACCATGTTCATACCGTCACATTTGTTGAATAAATTGTACAACATTTATCCTTATACTGCACATTTTCTGACTAAACCAAACCCACTGTTTGTTTGTTGCATTTGCTCTAAGAACTGAGAACTTCCCAACTCATCTGACTTTGTAACACAACAGATAAATTGGTAACAAAGTATTTACATAGTTATTATCTTGTGAAAAATGGCTACGCTGTTATCATTGTATAAAGTTGATGATAGTGCCATGAACTTTATAATTGATCAGTCAAATCAGATCAATTGTAATATGCTTTGTTTCTCAATTTCTATCCATAAAAATGTGATACATTGGCACTGTGTTGCAATTGTGCTAATGCCTGTTTTGCAAGTTAACATGGCTGCGTTTACAAAGGCAATTTTTTCACTAATTGGTATTTTTACCAATCAGATCAGCTCTGAAAAAGATCTGCTGTGAAAAGATCTGATGTGATTGGTCAAAAGACCAATTAGTGGAAAAAATATCAGAATTGGGCTGGCTGCCTGTGTAGATGCAGCCTATCTGTCACGGTTTCGGCCGAGGCTGCTCCTCCTCCTTGCTCGGGCAGGCTTCGGCGGTCGTCGTCCCCGGAGTACTAGCTATCACCGTTTGATGTTTTCGATGTTTGATTGGTTTTGTCTGATTGTGTACACCTGTTTCCTTTTTTGGTTGATTATGTCTCCTATAAGTTCTCGCTTTGTTAGTCATGTGTTGTGTGTTATTGTTCGCCTGTCTACTGGTGCGGCTCGTCATTTTGTATTTTGTTATATTCCGGTCGTCGCACTGTATTTGTTTTCGTGCGCCTTGGATATCCTGTGTTTTGCGCACTGTTGCGCATAGTCCGCCTCCTATGTTGTTGAGGCCAGGATCTGTTTATTTTGTGATCAGTAAAGTTGGTTAGTCTGACCTTCTGTGTCCTGCGTGTGACTCCTCCACCACATCCACATCAGCCGGCTCTGATAGAATAACACACCATATGGAGTCAGCAGGAGCAGCAGCAGCACCCAAGTCTTTGGAGGAGCGCGTCCGCGGGCAGGACGATCGGATCCATCAACTCGGGACTGCCCTGCAGGACGTAATTAACACTCTGCACCGATGGGAGATCAGAGGGGTACCCACGCCTCCGCCTACCCTACCATCACCATCGGTCAGTCCTCCCATCGGTGTTCCGGAACCCAGTGGGATTCGGCTCTCGCTCCCGAGGGCGTATGATGGCACTGCTGCCGGGTGTCAGGGGTTCCTCCTGCCGGTGCCCTCGGGACACGAGAGCATCTCCGCCCTCATCTCCTGTCTCACCGGCAAGGCGTTGGAGTGGGCCAACGCCGAATGGAGGAGGATAGACGCTGCTACCATCACCTACGCAGAGTTCTCCCGCCGCTTCAGGGCCGTGTTCGACCATCCACCTGAGGGGAAAGCGGCGGGGGAGCGTCTATTCTACCTCCGACGGGGGAAGAGGAGCGCACAGGAGTTCGCCCTGGAGTTCCAGACTCTAGCGGCGGATGCAGGGTGGAATGAGCGGGCCCTCATCGACCACTATCGATGTTGTCTACGGGAGGACGTCCGTCGAGAGTTGGCCTGCAGGGATGCCCACCTCACCTTCGACCAGCTGGTGGACATGTCCATCCGGCTTGACACCCTGCTGGCAACCAGCGGACGTTCCGAGTGGGGGTCGTCCATTCCACCCTCCAGCACC